ATGCATGCACTACTTCATATTTTCATGTAAACAGCATCCTCTAGGTGAGGAAATCCGCCATGGTCTCTCATTTTGTCATGCAGTGATAACTGGCTTGTTACTGTGATGCTGGAAGTTATGCCACTGGTATTTCAAATATCAGCAGGGTAACCCATGGTTGATTACAGCAGAACTTCCAGACTAACACAGACCAGAAAGAAGAACATCCGAAGAAAATTAAATATAACATGGACTGCCAGAAGAATGAACAAATCTGCCTTGGAGAAGTACACCTGGAACACTCCTCACAAGGCAGGATAGAGAGACTCCGTCTCTTTTACTTTGGATATATTACCAGAGGGACCATTCCCTGGGCAAGGATGCATTGCTTGGTAAGCAAGTACAATCAGCTATAAATAGGATGACCCAAAATTAGATGAAATGACACAGTGGCTATAGCAATAGGCACAAGAGTAGCAATGATTGTGTTGATGGCACAAAACCGGGCACAGTTCTGTTCTATTTTACCTTAGGTCACTAAGGGACTAGACTTAGGTCTAGGTAACTGTGAGTCAGAACTGACTCAACGGAACCTCAGAATAGCAGCAACAGATAGTGACATTATACACAATGTTTTCATCTTTTTATGTCTTCGTATCATGGAAAGAAAACCTTAAACTGATATTGAAAAAAAAAAAAAAAGAAAAGAAAAGAACAGTATTTGCAGCTAAACATTGAGAACTATCCTTAAAAAATGAATTTCCTCTTTCTTCTCAATTTTCATTAAAAAAAAAGAGGATATTACATGTTAGTCCACAATGGGGAGAAAAAAAAAGGGAAATATGAGTTGCTGGGTGTCACACATTTTTCAAAATATAATGTTAGTTAAATGAATTAGAGTAGAGAAGAAAGTTACAACTATCTGAAGAAGGATAGAGAAAAATACAGCTTACTTCACCTGAAAAGCTCTGGAGATCCTACAAGCTGAAATTATCAAGTTCCCCAGATGGTAGTAGTGAAATATACATTGGATTACTGAAGGATTACTTTCCTTTCTCAAGTTATATTCCAGATTGCCAGGAGACATCCTTCTACCCACAGTGGAGAGGTTTCTGCAAAGCTTCTAGAGTAAGACTAAGAAAGAAGGTGTTTTATTTCTGAAAATCAGACAAAAAAAAAATCTTATGGACCACAGCAGAGCACTGTCTGACTTTCAAGCTATGGGCATATCATCAGGAGGGCTCAATCCCTGGAAGATGACATCATGTTTGATAAAATAGAAGGCAAACAAAAGTGTGAGATACGCTCAGTGAGATGGGCCGCCAAAACAGCCACAACCATGGAGTTGAACATGCAGATGATTGTGAGGATGATGCAGGATCAGGCAATGTTTTGTTCTGTTGTACACAAGGTCTCCATGATGGAAGTTGACTCAACAGCAGCTATATATGTGTACTCTTTTCTGTCAGGTTGCTGCTTATGGGTGATGGAACACAGGGTTGTTGCTGTTCCTTGAGATTGAAACAGTTCCAACTCATAAATACCTTGTTCAACAACAACCACAATATGCTACTGGATCCTGTGCTGTTCTCACAGCTGTTCCTATGCATGAGCCCATTATTGCAACCACAGCTCCATTCCATCTTGCTGAGAGTATACTCTTTTTTTTTTTTTGCTTATCCTCTAAGTTACCAAGCATGATGTCCTTCTAGAGGGACTGTTTTGTTGTTGTTATGTACCACCGAGTCAGCCCCGACTCATAGTAACCCCTTCTTGAGTTTCCAAGGTGGTATCACTACAGAAGTAGATTGCCCAACCTTCCTTCTGAAAAGTGGCTGGTGAGTTTGAACCACCAACCTACTGGTTAGCAGTCAAGTGCTTTAGGCACTATGCTACATGTCCAAAGTATATGAGATGAAGTTTTGACATCCTAGCTTCCAAGGAGCATTCTGGCTGTACTTAATCCAACACAAATTGGTCCATTCTACCACAATCCATGGTATATTCATTATGCTTTGCTAACACTATAATTCAAAGGTATCAAAGCCTCTATAGTCTTCCTTACTCATTGTCCTGCTTTCCCGTGCATGTGAGGCAATTGAAAATACCATGGCTTGGGGCAGACACAACTTAGGCCTCAAAAATATCTTTGTTTTGCAACATTTTAAAGATGTTTTTGCAGCACACTTGCCAAAAGCAATGTTATTTGGTTTCTTGACTGCTGCTTCCATAGGCATTGACTGTGGATCCAAGTAAAATGGTATGTGGTAATACCAATGAAGTTTGAGATTATGGGAAGAATTTCACATTTCTGTTGCTCACAAATAGGTATTGTGTCCTAAACAATGTTTATAGGAAATTACATCAAGGATGACTTACTCTACACATCTTCAAACATTGTTCTAGGTGAGGGCACTGTGCAGACAGAATGTACAATCTATATGTGAAGTATTTATCACTTAAATCTCTATTGTAACAATCAATAATTTCGAGAAAAGTGTAATAATAATGTGTACAGATAAAATTAACACTGTTAATTATATAACTTTCAAATAGCATGATTTATCTTGAATTATCCACGTGAGCTCAATGCAATCACAAGTATCCTTCCACATGGAAGAGACAGGCAGAAGAGAAAGAGGGAGATGTGGTAATGGAAGAATGATCAAATGCATGCAGTGCAGATGCACTGATGAAGGTGTAGAAAGGAGATCATGAACGAAGGAATGTGCAAAAGTCAAGAGCCTCCAAACAAAACAACAATGACAACAACAAAATATATGCACACCCTGATTTAGCCCAGTGAGACTTATGTCAGACTTCCAACTTAGAATAAATGTATGTTGTTTTAAGTCACTACAATTGTGGAAATTTGTTACAGCAGCAGTAGAAAAGTAATTCAACATTTTGAAACATATGATTTAAGGAACCAATTCCAGATGCCATTATCAGAAAAACAAATCTCAAATAATTGATGAGTGCCCTCATGTCAAAAAGTTTTCAGTCCCCAGATTTGTATTCTGTACCCCTAAACTGACACCTTCAAGATCAACTCCCATAGTAAAGTATTTTCCAATTTTCACTCTTAATATTAGCTAGGGGGTAACACATGTAACCCCTTGTGTTACATGATAGACTCATGCATTTGTAAATGCCTGAGGATTATATTTTACTGAGACTTTTCCCTGGGTAGCTGCTTGCAAATAATAAGGGACATAGAAGGAAGCTCTGGAGAAGAATGCATCTAATTGCATAATCACATTAGATGAGGTCATCCCATGGGACTGATGAAAGGGAAGAATTTCTTCTCTTGCAGGAGAAAGCAATGAGGATCAAAAATAATTTTTGAATTCGTGATTCACAGCTTTCTCCATAAAGAAGTCCTTACTTTAGCTCTCAGAATGGAATTCTTTCTCTATCAGGGCACTTATTTCAAAAAAGGGAGTCTACTGAGTCTGCACCTCCACCCCTCTCTAGAGTTCTGCCTCTTTTATTACAAAATTCTGACCCTGATATGTAACACCATCTCTGCATGCAGAAGTGGTTTCAGTGGAAGCAGGGACTTTATAAATGAAGTGTTTAGGGGAAGATATCTTAACTGGATCCACTGTACACTCCATATTTACCTGTTCCTTGTCTTGAAAGAGATGGAAACACCAGATAAAACTGAATATACTACTATGCAAAATTTTCTGTAGCACAACCAGACAGTAGCTCCTGTAACCATTGATAAAGTACTTCAGATGGATTTCATCTTGAAAGTCACAAAATCTTAAAAAAAAGTAATAAAAGTGAGGTACTTATGTCATTACATTTTGCTGTTAAATCTATAGCTTTCCATGTCCACACTAAAAAATGCTAAAGCTCTTGGTGCAATAACATTGATAAAAATTTAATAATTCTAATACAATACCAGGAGCTCTGGTAGCATAGTGCCTAAAGCACTTGACTGCTAACCAGAAGGCTGGCGGTTCAAACCCACCAGCCACTCCTCGGAAGGAAGGTGGGGCAATTTACTTCCCTAGTGATACTGCCTAGGAAACCCAGAGAGGGGTCACTATGAGTCAGGTCTGACTCGATGGCACATAACAACAACAACAACAACAACAATACAATTTAGTACAAAAAAAAATAAAAGTCTCAAATACACAAAAATACTGATGTTTAATTTTAAATAAGAAATCAAGTTGAAATTAAGTTCTTAATTATCATGTAATTACTGACTGTGATGATAGATGCCCATGGACAAAAATTGATATCCATCCCAACTGCTGATACATATGATTCATATGAAGTTTTCAGTTCTCCATACTTAAGGTGTCCTTTTCTCTAGATTGAATTGAAAACCCACTGACATTTTCTACCTGTGACATAAATACATATTTTTGTTTCAAAGTCTAAAAACTCTCTAAGTTATCACTTTCCATTTAGAAAATAGAAAATCTAAGATGTTGGGAATATAAACATATGGAGGGCTAACTTTAATCACAAAAAAACAAAAGCAAAAAAAAACATTCATTGTCGTCCAGTTGTTGCCAAAACATAGCAACCCCACGTGTTACAGAAGAGAACAGTTCCATATGGTTTTTCAGCTGTAATCTTTATCGAAGCAGATTCACCAGGTATATCATAGATAGCACTGCTGGATGTTTTCAAACTGCCAAGCTTTAGGTTAACAGCCAAATAATACCCAAAATCAACATGAAGGACAGAGAAAACACTAGTTCAAAACTATGAGTCTTTCTAGGTATCCAAGAGAGACAGAGAAACAATAGCGAAAACTCTAAGGCAGGAGGTCTTACATGACTGTATGTACCTGGTGTTTTCTCTTCCTGTACATGAAACTGACTCATATTTCAAACTCACTGGTGTTAAGTGTTCATATTGCCTATTCCCTGTAGAAACTCACTCTCATTCCTCAAAGTAGGATTCTTTTGTATCCACAATAATATTATATTTTCTGTTTAATTCTTTAAGGTCAATTGAAATTGTGAAGAAGGATTTGAAACTTCCATTCATCTTTAGTCCTCTGAGATAGGTTTCTTGCTCCATATCTTCTTCATTGCATTTTTCACCTCTGCATTTCTCAGTGTGTAAATCAGAGGGTTAAGCAAAGGTGTCCCAATTGTATAAAATATAGTTATCATCTTATCCATGGGAAAAGTGGTTGCAGGGCGTGTGTATATGAATATACAAGGACCGAAGAACAAGATGACTACAATGATGTGGGAGATGCAGGTGGAAAGAGCTTTTTTCCTCCCTTCTGCACTGTGATTTCTCAGAGAATGCAAGATGATAACATAAGAAAACATCAACATGACAAGACTCACTGTGCAAATGGCCCCACTATTGGATACCAATAGTACATTGACCATATAGGTGTCTGCACAGGCAAGTTTCAACAAGGGCTCCAAGTCACATAAATAGTGATCAATCACATTGGGACCACAAAAAGGTAAACTCAAAGTCAGAAAAATCTGAGTTGAAGAATGCACACAGGATCCCACCCAGGCTATAACTACCAAAGTATTGCAGACCCTCCGGCTCATGATGGCCATGTAGTGCAGGGGTTTACAGATGGCAACATAGCGGTCCACGGCCATAAGGATAAGGATGAAGATCTCAAGGCAGCCAAAGAAATGGAATGAAAATATTTGAATTATGCACTCATTGAAAGAGATAGTGGTATTCTTCAAAAGCGAATCTACAATCATTCTAGGAGCTATGGAAGTAGAGAAGCAAGTATCAGAGAAGGACAAGTAGAAAAGGAAGAAGTACATTGGACTCCCAAGTGCCCGGCTGGTCTTGATGGTAATAATAATCAGCAAGTTACCCAACAATGTCCCTAAGTAGAAAAGCAAGAAAATGGCAAACACTATTTTCTTTCTCACAGGATCTTGTGTCAACCCAAGCAGAATGAATTCTGTCACATTGTTGTTCAGCAGCATCATTTCATTAATGAAGACAAAGTGCAAATGTGAAATGCTTTATCTGAAAAAATAAATACAGGAATTACTTTATGGTGCTATGCAATGTTGTTGAATACTTTAAATAAATTAATTTGTGATAAAATATGATGTTATGTGATTTTTTTTAGCAAAAATAAATATTCTTCAACAGGGACATTCTAGTTGTTGTTTCTTAATAAGTTACTTCAACTCCTTATTCCCTTATTCCTCAATTTTTAATGACTACTCAATAGGTCAGTCTCATATAAGCTCATGAAAGATACTTTCCTAAACTACTTTTCATATGTAGCTCCATGTTTTCTTCAACAGGTTTCTTCTCTTAATTATTTATTTGTTGTGTACAAATCAGGATATATATCTCTAATTTATTATTTACTTAAATTTTATCATATTCAATGTACTTTGCAACCCTAGTTTTGCATGGTTAATCACTAGCCATTTAGGATACATTTGTCTTCCCTTTTGAGATTGATATTATAATGTCACAAATTATTCCCTTCACCATAAAAATTCCCCTTAATATTTATAATTATGTGTTACATATTACCCACTCCTATCAAGTCAATTCCACCCCAGAGTGACTCCTCTGGGGTTTCCAAGGTTGTAAATCTTTACAGAAGTGGACTGCTCATCTTATGGAGAAGCTGGTGGGTTTGATCTGCCAACCTTCTGGTTAATAGTCAAATGCCTTACACAGTATGCTGCCAGATCAATGACAACTTATTATATAAATGTGTATTATTTATAAATATATCATAAACAAACAAACAAACAAAGCTGTTGCCATCATGCCCATTATAACTCATGTAGACCTCACGTGTTACAGAGTAGAACTGCTCCACAGTTCTGCTGGAACTTTTATAGCAACTGACACCAGGCCTTTCTTCCATGGTAGTCAATGGACTACCAGTCGATTTGAACTGCCAACCTTCACACTAGTATTTGAGAGGAAACCATTTGCACCACTCAGGGACTAACAAATATATTGTATATCACAGCTGATTACTGAGCATTCTCTCCCAGATATCACAGCTTCAAAAATGGAGTAAGAAACACTTATTTACCCCACTGTCGAGGAGTTGATTCCTACTCATAGTGATCCTATAAACACTTAGCTTATAAATAGTCTACTTTTGGCTTCAAACACCTTAACGGTGTTTAGTAAATGACAGATACTAATAAGCATGAAATAATATTCTTTGATAATTGTTAATGAAAATTTAGGAGTCTTAATGGCATAGTGGTGACTTTTCTCACCTTCTAGCATAAACGTTGGCAATGTGAACCAACCAGCCACTCTGGGGGAGAAAGATGTGGAGGTCTTCTTCAATAAAGATCGGCAGTCTTAGAAGCATTATGGGGCCCTGTACAGTCACTAATAGTTGGAACTGTCTTGACAACAGTGGGTTTGGGATAATATCTCAACTATTGCCATTTCTATTTTTCTTCTTTCAATTCCTGAATATCTGAAAAGGACCTGTTAGATTACTCAAAGTCTCTGAAGTTATGCTTGCAAATGAAAAGGGTGGAGATGATGGTTTAATAGTTCATGTTTTACAATTCAGGTTTTTAGATTAAGCATTTTGGATCTGGGGCAGTGATCATGCAGCCTGTCAGCAGGCAAAACAGACAGTTGGTGTATGATCAGAGCATGACTGTAATGTCATGTATTACTCAGTTATCTGAAACAAATGAACAACAAACAAACAAAAAACATGTTCTTGGAACAAAGCACAGAAGTGGAAAAGGTAGGGCAATGTGATTACAAGAGGGAGAGTGAATACTCAGTAATAGACTTCTTTATTGAATTTGTTTTGTGTACTACAAAGTCAATGGTTCTTGATATTTGAAATATCATGTCGTTCAACAAAGATTTCTTTTTACAAATTTAGACAGAAATAATCAAGGTCTTCACTTCCAAGAACAAAATCTTTTTTAGATCTTTTTCATCAGTAAGATAATTAGAGGATGCCTTGTATGCAAATAAAAATATATACTTACACACTATGTACTTAAATCTAATACCAAAAAAAAAAAAAAAAAAAAAAACTTATCTTATTATGTTCCTCCCCTATCCCATACCAATCATTTGTCTTGAAAGTTGTGAGATGGGAAAAATTCAGATTTTGATAACTGAAATACACTGGTTTTATTTTCCTCTTCATTTGTACATTTTATTTACCTCAACAGACTTTGAATAAACTTTATCTTCCTCCAATGCAATATCTATTCTAGGAAGTTTCCTGAAGAACTTACTGATTTTGGAATTCCAAGAATAAAATATATTTCTCTTTGGACTATCTGATCTCCAACAAGGAAGAATTGTAAGGAGCCTGAGACTGGGTATCCTAAGAGTTACACTGAGCTCATTCTTTTCTTTATTGAAAGAGTGATTCATCCTAAAATATTTCTATTTGTAAATATGTTAAGCATTGAAAGCAAGATGATACAAAAATCTCACTTACCTCCTGGAAACTTTGATTTTGCTTACTCTTTAGAAAGCAGAATTTCTGATTTGTATACTATCAATCTCAGCATCTGTTTCTAAAACAAGTGATTTTCTTTACACTTTGACAAAGATCTTTAAGATAATCATAAATGAATTTCATTAAATTGTTAATAATATGCATCCTGTCATAGTTATGTAGTACTACTAAAACAGAAATACAACAACCAGGTGAATTTAATTAACACAAATGTATTTCCTCAACCTTAGGAAGTTGGAAGTCTGAAAAGTAGGCCCCAACTCTAGAGGAAGGCTTCGTTTTTCTTTGGGCTCTGGGGGAAGATCCTCGTCTTTTCAAGTTCCATTCCTTGGCCCTTTGATGATCTACATATGACATGGCATGAACCTCCTTCCATCTCTGTCTACTCACTTGCCTGTTTAATCTCTTTTATATCTTAAAAGGCATCAGTTTACAATATACCCTACATCAATTTTGTCTCATTAACATAAAAAAGAAAACCTATTCCCAAATGGGATTCTAAGCGCATGTATAGGAGACCTGCAGTCTTAAAACCTATTTGAACCTATGCATATTCCAAACAAACCAGACTACTTAAATCATATATTTATTAATAACCTAATATAAACATTTCTGTTTCTATAGACACATTTTCTGTTACCTCAAGTACAAATATTTTTTAAATTTTTGAACAAAGGAACTTTTAATCTACAATATATCATGATCCACAAAACATGAATCTAGTTCCCAAATTGACAAATATTTATTGTTTTCTATGTATAAAAAGGCTACATTCAATATATAACTGCATCCAAAACCAAAAACAAACTTGCCTCGAGTCGGATCCGACTCATAGCAACCCCTCCTTGGGCTTCCAAGGCACTATCACTACGGAAGTAGATTGCCCAACCTTCCTTCCAAGGAGTGGCTGGTGGGTTTGGACCGCCAGCTTTCTGGTTAGCAATCAAGTGCCTTAGGTACTATGCCACTAGAGTTCTCAGGAACTGCATCAGGTAGGAAATTTATGAAGGAAACAATGTAGAAGCCAAAGATTAACAGTGAATAAGCATGAATTCTGAAAACCCATCTTGCTCTCTCTTGTCTTCCTGGAGACCTTTCCATTTCCAGCTGTGCTGTCTTTCTCAAACCTTTGCGAGCAACTACAGAGAAATCTCCTGTAGGCAGCCTTCAATGATTGTCTTCTGATGAAGGAAATTCTCTGTCCTATGTTCTACAAGCTTTACTTTAACATTCCTTATAATATTACACACTATTACTTAATAGACAATTATTTGTATGGTATTGTTTTAGCTTCCTCCCTGGATTTAGAGTCTTGGAAATCCATGTGCTCTCACAATTTTACTTTCTAATGTTCCAACCCAAAAGCCTTATAAAACGTTGGTACTCGGTAAATTCTTTTAAACAAAACATTTTTTACCTCTTAAAATGTACTAATATATATCTACTAACATATATAACTAATGACTATGTAATATTATTTATGATAATATTATAATAGTATTATTTTTATAATATCATTCTAAAGTAAAATTAAATTCATAAAATTAATTTAATGAGGTCTTCTATCTGTCACATATAGTATGGTTGACAGACAAATATATTCCAAAGTTATAAATCTGTGGGGGACAGAGAGATAGATTTTAAATAAGTGACTGAATTAGCTTATAATCCATAGTAGAAGATAATGCCCCCTATTGTGTAAGAGACTGGAACAGGCACTCAGGGAGATGACAGTAATAAGTATTTGTATATTTTTACATGAGTACTTAGTCCTTGTTTTTGTTAGTTGTTGTCTAGTTGCTTCTGACTCATGGCAATCAATGAGTGTGTCAAAGTAGGTTAGTAGATTGTCCAATAACTTCTTTAGCTCTCCAAAGCCTAGTTTAAAAGATGATGTACTCTATCTTATTAGAGCTCTTCATTCTATATAACTGAACCCCATGACTTCTGTTATTGTTAAAGAGATACCCTGGAAACAATATGACTTGAGAACAAAATAGTTGTCATAATATTCAACATCCATTGCTTATGCTTCCTATCTCCTGTCAAAAATGTTACACCATTAATATATAATTTTTCCTCTTGCTGAATTTCATCAGACAGAAAAGCAAGAGCATTGTAGAAATAAAATAGTAGACATGATAACCAGGAGAAGGAAGTTAGATAGGGAGAATATTGAGGAAAAGGGATGATTGCTACCCAAAAAATTTTCAGAAATATCTTTCACCTTAATTGTATAGGTGATAAGCTTCTGTATCACCAAGTTTTTTAAAAGCTCTGGTGGTGTAGCGGTTAAGGCATTTGACTGCTAACCAAAATGTTGGTGTTCAAATCCATAGCTGCTCCACTGAGGAAAGATGAGGCAGCACACTTCTGTAAAGAAGTTTGGAAACAGCATTGGAAACTCAATGGGGCTCCCAAACAGTTGGAATTGACTAGATGGGGGTGAGTTCTCATCATGTTTGCTTTGAAGTTTCTCTGAGAAGCTTTTCA